CATGGGGCAGCCCCGTCCCCTACATCCCGTTTTCATAGCTAATTCGTCTTCCCTGATGTGGGGCGTGGATTTGGGTTGTAATAGGCTCTGTTGCTGATGGACTGTGCAGCCTCAGACTAGTGACTCAAGCTCACTTTGCCTCCTACTGACTATCTGTAAATCAGTAAAACACTGAAATCACTGGGGTTGCATTTAAGAATTAAGTGAGCAACTGTAAGCCAGTTGTCCACACCAGACCTGGGATGGGTTGGTGTTGTTTTTCTGAGAAAATCTTCTGAGCTGGCTCAAGGTTATGCATGCTGCACACAGTGGTGCCTGAATCCTGGGGATGACAGAGGCCTAAATACAAACCCCATGCCTGAGCCACTCAGGGTCGGTGGGGGACCCCAAGTGCCCTGGGTCAGTATTGAATATATTGTCAGTGATTACACTTTTGTCATCCAGGCTTTAAAAATTAATTGATCGCATTTGTTTGAAAGAGAGATTTCCCCATCATGGATGCTGGGTGATGCTGAACCAGGAAGAACTTGGTCCGGGTCTCCATCTGGGTCTCCCTCGTGGGTGGCGTCTGCTGTCTGCTGAGGTGCACGTCAGCAGGACGCTGGAACCAGGCACAGAGCTGGCTAGACCCTCTAGAGTGGGATGCAGGTGTCCAAGCTGCCCCTGAACTTCAGGTCGAGGTGCTGTCCCCTCCCTTTTCCCGTTCATTGCTCAGGAACATGCAGGTGGATGTTGTAATTAACTAGTAATCACCTCAATGCATAGTGATTAAAGGGTAACTTTAAATTCCTGTCCAGTGCATTGTCCCTATTTCCTCTCAGTGGGAGGAGGCTGATTGTCCAGCAGACAGCAGTGGCTGGCCTTGTGATGGAACATGTGGAGCTATGGGCTGTGCTGTCCTGTGGACTCAGCCTTCCAAACCTGTGAGTCAAATAACCCTCTTCTCCTTTTTCCTCTTTAAGTTTTTAAATTTATTTGGCAGAGAAACAGGCAGAGTTCCCAATGCTTGGTTCGCTCCCCAGCCGCTCACAGAGATCCCGAAGTCAGGAGCCAGGAACTCAACCCACGCCTTCCGCTGCCTGAGCCATCACTGCTGGCTCCCAGGGCAGGCGGTAACAGGAAGCTGGAGCTGGGAGTCAAGGCCGGGGCCCGAGTTCTGGACTCACGGGGAGATGCAGACATCCTAACCCGGTTCCTTTCTGCCCAAGTCCTTGGCCACAGGGATTTCATTACAGTTGTAAGAAATGGACTAATACAGAGTACCATGAGGGGTGTGGAGGTGGGACTGGGGGAGGCCAGGAGATGGACGGATGCCAGATCCTGGCTCCCCAGCCCCGCACACAAGGAAGGAGCATGTGGAACCCTAGCCATGGGGAAGCAAGGGGCGACCAACACTTTGAAGGAAATGGAACATCTTCAGATGTGTACTATCTAAGATGTATTTTCTTAAACTCTGAGCCTCAGTTTTCTCACCTGTGAGGTGGGTGTGTTGAATCATCAGTGAATCAATGGATAGGAGATTGCGTAGTCTAAGAACCCACAATAGACAAATGCTACTTCCCATCTCGTCTGACCAGGCATTCCACCAGGGGAGGGACACCTGGAGTGACCCCTCTGCACCCCAGCAGTCTTGGCATCCTTGGGCATTTCCTTAGGGCAGTGGGACAGGGGGCCTGGGCCCCCAGCCTGGATCAACACGGCCTCCAGGACTGTCTTAACAACGCCGCTGTTGCAGACAAGGCCCTCCACTGGGCTGCTCTTGTAAATATTGATGGAGTCCCCAGTGAGGAACAGAAAAACAAAGACTGTTTTATTTATGGTTAAAAAAAAAAGAAAAAAGGAAACCAACAGAAAAAAAAAGAAAGAAAGGAAAGAAACCAACATGCCCAACAGGAGGGAGGATGTTTAAATACACCGTGACACATTCACCGGCTGGAGGGAACATCAGGCAACCATTGAAATGCTGTTTACGGAGGGTTTGTGCTAACACGGCAAAGGCTTATTCTAAAGTGTTAGGTGACAAAGAAAGCACGGCATTGTGTGTTCAGCATAATCACACCCAGGCAAGAATCAAGCCGAAGGAAAACTGCACGCTGGAGGAAGACCGGAGGTCGCGCTCCACAGGAGGGGACGCCTCTGGGCGGCAAGATTGGCAAGGTGTTGTTTTTTTAAATCCTTTCCTATTTTCCAATTTTTTTTTTCTACAACGGGCACAGTTGGCTTAAAGTGGAAAGCAACCCAAACCTGATGGTGCAGCTGTGGAAGGAAGAACTCTTCCGGAAAAGGAGGGACAGGGGACCCGTGACACCCACGCTGCTCCCAGCACAAGGGCAGGAGATCGACAGACCCTAGGCCACTGAACAAGGTCCAGTGGAACCCTAGTTCCTGCAACCCTGAAGCCCTGATGTCCTGGGAATGAACTTGGTGCTGGTCCCCACATGGGGCAACTCTGTTTTTCTCCTGGTTTTTTCTTCGCTGTCTTCGCCCCTAAGGGGTCTTGTGCGTCAATGTGAAGGTGACTTCATTTTTTTCCTTTTACAACAAAGGCTAAACCAGGGTGGCTGGGCTCTCTTTGTACACCAAGGTGGCACTTGCTGGCATGGCCAAGCGCCTGGGTGGCAGGGCCAGCCTCCCCTTCCTGATGCAGCTCCAATCTGTCATCGATCAGTCGTCTCTCCATGCGTCTTGTTGCCCAGAGGTCACCTAGTCAGCGTCCCTGCCTTGTCTTTCTCCCAGTGCAGCCCACGTTCTATGCTACTTGGTTTTGTGTTTGTTCATAAAATTGCCCACTTTTCTTTATGGGAATGTGAACTCCATTGGGCGGGGCCAATCATGCATTCTGTTGATTTCACCACGCCAGGCAGATGCCATCCTGATGGCACGGCCTTACGTATTCCTCCAGGGCTCCTGAGACACCTTACTCCATGGCCATGATGTACCTGACTGCATCCAGAGGACAGGCCAGGGATGACAGATGCACCAGCAGGGAGCTGTGGGGAGTGACTACCTGGGACACCACGTTGGGACAGTTCTGAGCCTGTTGGAAGGGCCCATCAGTGTTCGGTGAATGATGTGTGCTGTGGGACCCTGCAGGAGGTAGGTGAGATGCCCCATGCACTTCCTGTCTCAGTCAGGCCCAACTCTGTCTGCTTCTCATGAGGAAGGCCAACCCCGCCAGCCAGTGAGGACTGGAAGGAGTTCTGCGACCCTATTCCTGGAACCAGCCCCTAGTCTCTACCACAGGTCTGCAAGAAGCTCCTGGGCTGGAGCCATCCCCAAACATGGCCCAGCCTGGCCACAGTCCTGGCCTCTGCTGGGCTCCTCACCAGCAACCTGCTGGGTCCCACCTGCTCCCAGCTCCCCAGGGAAGTGTGTGTGGGTCTCCTCTCAAATACCTCCCTGCAGCCACCTGCCCATGTCACAATGCCATGGAATATTGCCTGGAGCCCACACTCCCCATCCCTTTGGGTCTCTTGGAGGGTTAGATCCGAGTGTGGATGCTGAGCTTGAACATGGCTTTGGGCAGGGTGGGGGAGTCATGTTTTACTGACTTTGCTTCCCAGTCTGCAGTACAGAAACAAACTGGGCTGCCTCATCTCGCCAGGCCAGGGACAGTGGCCTCGTGCAGCCTCTCCTCTCATCTCCATGCCAACCTTCCCCTTGGTTGCTCTCATCCTGTGTCTTCTACCCCTGCAGCCTCAGCCCCAGCAGGTGCAAGGCACATGCGCTCTTGTTGAAATCACCCAGAACTTGGGAAGCATTTCCTTGTGTACTTTCATTGATCCCTAAGGCAGACAAGGATGGGAATTTGTTCTTCCCATTTTCCAGGTAGGAACACTGAGGTTCAAGGCACCTCCTGTCTTCTCTCTGGTGTCAGCTAAGGACTGACAGAGTCATTGCTTCCCTTCCTGCATCTGTGTCCCCGCTGGAGATAGAACGTGGGTCGCTGTGGCTGGAGACCGGACCAGTCTCTCCCTCCCCAACCCAGAATATAGGGGGGCTTTTCTGGACTTGAAGCCTTCCCCTCTCCCTGAGTCACCAGTCTGATGTGAGGGGGACCCAGGCCTGGAGGCTGCACTAGGCCCCCTGGGTCAGGAGGGCCAAGGAACATGGCCCTTCCTCCCAGCTCTCCTGTCTGAGGGGCCACACTGGTGATCCCGTGACACGGGGCTGGCTCCCCAGCTCCCAGCAAGAAGGCTGGGTTGCCTGGAAGGGTTCTGAGATGGGCACAGTGCAGAGCACATGGGTGGGCCTCAGGGCTAGGGGTAGGGCCACCTCTTCCCCTCTCTCTTTGGAGACCTCCTTGCTGGAACCATCTGTTTCCTCAGCAGACCTCTGCAGGAAGAGAGCTCACAAAAACAGGCACTCCTTTCCTTCCAGGGTTCTAGGGGTCCAGGTACTAAGAGAGGAAGCGGGGTTTGGTCCTTTTGCTCCTCCAGGTGGAGGCCCCACGGGCAGCTTCAGCTCAAGCCATTCTACTTCTCAACCCACCTGTTTCTCTGGCCAGGCACATCTTGCACCTTCTCAGACACCTCCCTGGTACTACCAGAACCATCTTCCTGGGTATTTTCCCAACTGTGTGACCCAGCGGCTGGGGTTTGGGAAGGTGCACAAATGGCTCACAGGGAGAGCCAACCCCTCTGCAGACAGGGACCGGCCCGAGGGGCCCCTGGGGTCACCAGGCCCTTGGAACTCTGCTTGTGATAAGGCAATGCACCCCTGAGCCTTGGTGGGGTCCTGGGGAGGCCCCTCCATCCTAAGACTGAGAGAGTTACAATCATCTGTCTCTTTAGAGAGATGCTGATGTCTTCCGCCTTGGGACCCTACGTCCCAGCTCCGTTTGCTGCCGTGGGCTCTGCTGCCCACCACGGGTGCAAGACTCCTCTGAGCTCCCCCTCATAGCGAGTTAGGAGGGTAGACTAGATACACCACTTGGCCGGCTGCATTCCTGGGTCTCCAATTATTCAGGCTCTGCCCACGGAGCCATGAGCGAACAGGCCGGGCACCGATCTTGCCTCTTGGTGTCGAATAGGAGCCTGGCATTGGGGCTGCTAGACCCTGGTCTGAGGCACATCGGAGATGGGCAAGGTCAGGACAGTGGGCAGGAGGGTGCCCCGAGGCGTTGGGAAGCTCTGGAGCTCATTGGGCACAAACCTGGGCGAGATGTGGTCGGCCAGGAAGCAGAGCGTGCGCTGGCGCCCCACACAGTAAATGCGATCGTCCACCACAGCGCACTGGAAGGCATCTGGGTAGGGCGTCCGGACAGTGGCGCACTCATACCAGAGCCGGGTGCTGGCGCTGCAACGGTACACACTGATGCCCAGGCTGCGGTGGAGGTCGAAGCGGTAGAGGAAGCCATTGGCCGCCACCATCTCAGCCGTGCGGTCCCTGCTGCCCCCCGTGGGGCCGGCCCGCCAGCGCTGCTCCTGGACTGAGAAGCGGAGCAGCAGGTAGCGCAGTGTGCCCCCTGTGACAAAAATCTCGTCAGCGCACGCCGTGGCCGTGTGTGCCAGGGCGAATGTGTCGTTGGGGAGCGGCGGGGAGAAGGCCCAGCGGTCCAGCCGGGGGTCATAGCGCTCAACGGTATTCAGACACTCGCCCCCGATGGCGTACAGCTGTCCGGCCAGTGCCACCAGCCGGCAGTGTGGGCGAGCCTGGTTGAGACGACACACCTCACTCCAGATGCCCGTTAGCGGGTTGTAACAGAACACACGGTTCGAGGGCTGGCGCCCGGGCCCCTGGCAGCCGGACACCACGAAGATGTAATTAAACAGACTGCAGATAGCGCAGCCCCAGGACACCGCCTCAGGGGGCAGGTGGGCCAGCAGGTGCCAAGCATCCTTGCTGTCATCATAGCAATAGAGGCGGCCCCACTCTTCCTGGGGACACACGTCGGCCACCACCAGGTGCTTGCGGCCCCGGAGTCGGCGCTTCAGGATGTGGTCCCGCTCAGCTCCGCTCAGGCAGCCGTAGATGTCCGGACTGCGCAACACCTGGAGGTAATTGTCGCTCATCACCTTGTAAGCCGCCTCCTTCAGGGCCTCCAGGTTCTGCCTCTTGGCCAGGGTCAGAACCTCATAGCAATTGCCCAGATCCAGGCGGGTGTCTGGGGCCGAGGCGGGTGTAAGCGGAATGTGGAAGAAGTTGGTTCCAGCCACAAGCTGCACCTGGGGCTCCTCGCTGTTCCTGGGTGAATCGGTTGGGGGGTCCTGGGGCCCAAAGCCGTCTAGCTGCAGCTGCAACTCTGGGTTCTCCACGATCTGAAGAAAACTCTCCTTTCTGCTGAAGCCGTGCGGGGGGCCCGATGGTACAGGCTCCGGGGAGGCGCCTGTTTCCACTCCGCCTTCTGTGTCATCTGCCCGGTCTCCGCCTGGCACTGGCCCAGGGGGCGGAGCCTCAGTCGGGGCTGCAGCCTGGGGGGCCGGCTGGGACATAGCCCGCGAGGTGGATTCCACATAGTAATCGTACACTTTACCCTTCAGCCTGAGCCCTTTCCCTTCCACCTGTTGAATGAAATTCTCCTCCATGCGAACCCGTGCCACGGATGAAAAGGTATATGAGGTGTCACCAGCGCCTTCTTGCTGGTGCAGGGCCAGGCCCATGTCTGAGGCGGCCTGGAGGGCCCCGGCCTCTTCTCTGCTGACCCCTGACACGCGGGTGAAGACCCAATTTGGGTTCATGTCATTACTGCTTTCCGCTGGAGTCACCCAGTGCTGGTGGTCAGGTTCCTGCCCCCCAGGTGCTGGCTGCTCAGGTAGTTTGCCATTCCCCCATGGAGCAGGCTCACCTCCCACACAGCTGCTGCCCACGGCCGCTGTTGCAAGGCTGGCTGGGGCACTTTCAGGTTCACTGCCTTGATAACCGGGGCAGTGGGGAGGGTTGGGCTTACCTCCAAAAGCTGTTCCAGATTCCTGGCTATGGCAGCGCGGGGGCACCTGCTCCGAGTCTGGCCACCCCTTGCCCTGTTCCTCACTGGAGCCTTGGCTCTGGGACCTCCTGTGTCGGGGAGCAGCTCCTGAGGCCAGGACACAGTGGTCTCCCAGGTCCTCACAGTTGCAGTCCTGGGGAGCTCCGGCTCCCTGGCTCACCCTCCGTGGACGGCGTCTCGGCTCTGTCTGCAGCGTTCCTGGAGGAGCCCCCTGAAAAGCAGGTTGCCTGGAGCCCTTTTCTTCCTCTTCAGCTTTGGTCTTGGCATTGCCACTCCCCTGCCGAGCTGGGGCAGGCCTTGACCTGTAGAGTCTGTAGACTGCTGTCACTATGACCAGGGCGGCGGCGGACAGCACCACTTTGCCGGTCAGCTGCATGTCCCAATGCCAGTCCTGGGCCTCTGCTCTGGGGAGCATGCTTCTCAGGCAGGCCTGGGGCTGAGGAATGTCAAGAATCTGATTAATAATTAGCCAATAGGGACGAGTTCCTGGATCCTGCTGCGTGGAGTGGGAGGGAGCTGTAGGCTGGCTCTGGCCAGCTGGCTAAGGAGTTGGAGCCGAGGTGACTTTGAATTGGCAGAGGGTGGCCACAGAACCCCACAGGGTCAGCAGATCTCAAAGGCTGGCCTCCTGCGAGTGCTGGATCCTTCCCTGGGAAGTGAGGGCTGCCCAGGGGCTGAACTTGAAAGCAGTCACTCAAGCTGGCCCTGCAGCCAGAAACTGGGGAAGGTCGGCTGTTGCGAGTGCCCGGCGGGTACAGCAAGGGGAGGAAGCTCTTTGCCAAGCAGTCATCTGATGCCAGGAAGCGCAGGGGGTGGTTAGGTTTTGAGTGAGTGCTTTGTTTTCCCTTTTGCAAATCTAATGGACTGGGAGGCCGGGCTGTGGGAGGCCTGGGCAGGTGGAGCCAGGGAACCTAACTGAGGGAAGGCCCTTACCTGTTGAGATCTGCAGGTCCCAGTTTCCCACACAGGGGCCATGGTTTGGTAGGGGACACAGCAGGGCAGGCCGGAGCCAGGGATGGTGGCCAAGCCACCTGACTGGCCGCCCAACGCCTCTGTCCTCATTTCCTGCTCGACGGGTTTGCTGAGAAACCCTGCTTTGTGGAGAGTGGTCTGGAAAACTCTTGGCATTGTTGGGGTACAGATTAAGACTTGCAATCACCCCTCCCCCAGCCAGACATAGGCCCAGGGAAGACTCTCCCCAGGGTTGTGGGGGGATGCTTGGGTCTAGCTTCTTCAGCTTTGTGACCTCAGGCAAATGACTCGGTGTCTCTGTGCCTCATTTCCTTACGTGCAGCGGGAAGAATGGCCACCGTGGTACTGGGTTTGGTGGTAGGAAGGACAAAACGGGTTAATGGGCGCAAAGGCCTGAGCTCCAAGTCCACGTCCTGGAGCTAGGTAAACATTAGCTGTGCCGCTCTCCTCCCCTCGCCGTCTTTGTCCTGGTTAGCATCCTCAGGCTACTGTGACCCTCGGCAGGGGATCCTCCCTGGCACAGACTGGTCCCACCCCTTCCCTGGCTCAGGCGCTCCAAGGGACTCCAAAGTCAGGGGAGGGAGCTTGCTGCAGAGTGTGGATGTGCGCAAGCTCTCTGAAACATGAAGTAAAGACTTGATCTGGGAGGAAACCTTGACCCTACCCCAGTGTGCACAGTCCTGCAGGCACCAACCGGCTTCAGGACAGCCATGTCTCCCTTACTGTCACATGCCCAGCTGTGCCGCCCCTGGGCAGGGGCACAGGCCAACTTCTCGCCAGGCCAGACCTCTGGGTCTTGGTTGGTTAGCATCCCTCTTCCTGCTGGGAGCCCCTGTGACTCCCAAGTCACCTCCCTCCCCTTGGGTGCCCCATTTCTCTGCTCTTTGTCCAGCCCTTGTCATGTGGGCTGCAGCGCTAGGTGCACTGTGTAGGAAATCTGCTCTCCCTCTGGGTTCTAAGCTCCTGAGGACAAATACAGCCCAGGTCTCAGCTTTGAATCCTGGGGTGGCCAGAAGGGCCCTGCATCACAGGGACAGTGACCAGCAGCAATTGGGACTCTGGGCTGGAAAGGAGTGGCATGGAGGCTCTGGACAAATCACCGCTCAAGGTCCCAGCCCCTGGAGAGACCGAAAGCGACTATCATCTCCATTTTACAGCTGTGCAACTTGCCCTCCCAGGTCACTCTGCTGATAATTGGGAATTTCTGTTCTGTTTGCAGGCTCCAGAGCATCCCACAGCTGACCTCCTAGGTAAGGCCGTGCTCCTCACCTGTCCCAGGGGGAACTCGGGAACAAGTTCTTTTCTCTCCATCAAGGCCAAAGTCATGGTGGTCATGGATCTGACCAACACATGACTCCTTAGAAACACAGGTTTCCAGGCTCCACCCCGAGACAGTCTGAGAGAGAAGGGTTGGAGCGGTGCAGGGGGTGTGTGAGGGGGAGGCGGGAACGGGTTTTCCAACAAATTCTAATTTTTTTTTTCTTTCTTCAAAATTTATTTGAAGAACTCAATTTAGGTCTCCCATGTCAGGGGTGCTGTCAGGACCCCAATGACTTGAGCCCTCACCATTGCCTCCCAGGGTCTATGCTGGCAGGAAGCAGGTGCCAGGAATCGGGCCTCCTCACCAGCGTCTTAACCACCAGGTCAGAAGCTCGTCCTGAAGCTGGCATTAAGTCACCTCGGGGGTTCCCAGTGGGCCTGCCAATGAAAGATGACTTAGCTTTCCTTCCCTCTGCCGGAAGTCCCTGCTCATTCCCGGGGTGGCGGCTGGACAGTCCCTCCCTGAACAATCAAGGGGAACAATGGAGAGGAACAAAGTTCAGGGCGCCAGGCATTGGGGCAGAATCTCGTATTCCCAGGGGTTCAGAGCTGGGATTCTCAGCACCTCGCATCTCCCAGGGGAGCACGCAGGCTCCCCTCTGGCTGCACAGCCCCCAGCCCTCCTCTGAAATGAAGTTTTAGGGTTCCCAAGGGGTGCTCCCCCAGGCAGTGGCCAGGCCACCGCTGTGAGGGTTGGGCACCATCAAGACTCCTGCACCCTGGGATGGAAGGACATGTGACAGACTCTTGGCCAGATGTGACCTGGCATTGTCCTCTCCGTGCCACCAAAGCAGCAGGGCTTGGCGGCTGCTTCTCCCCTGGTGAAGGCATGGTAGTGTCCGCACCTCCAGCTTATCCCCGTTAAAACCAGCAAGCAGGAGTCTGCACTAGAACTGAGGCCCCTGGGTGCACAGGGCTGGGGTACAGGGGGGAAGTGGAGGGGGAAGGAGGACACAGCCCCAGCCCCGAGGGACCTATGTTCCTACAGCAGAAAACGCCTGCATCCTGTATTGTAGTGCCTTGTTTGGGTCCTCATACTGCTTTCAATGCAATTTCTTATAAATGCATGCCCTGGGAGGCAGCCGGTAATGGCTCATGAACTTGGGTCTCTGCCACCTCACGTTGGAGACCTGGACGACATTCTAGGGGTCTGACTTCCATCTGACCTAACCCTGACTGCTGTGGGCCTTTGGAGAAGTGAACCAGCAGATGGAATATCTCTGACATTGCCTGTGATCCTGCCTTTTAAAATATCAATACAAGCCATGATAAAACTGCAGGTGTTACTGTCTTAGGTCTGGAAGGGCTGGCAGGGAGGGGAATGGAGGAGAGAAGCTTGTTACTGTTACTCGCAGTCCTTAGGAGGAGGGGCACAGCAGTGCTGCAGGGCCAATCAGAAGACAGCAGTCTGGAAGTAGGGGGAGAGTGAGGGGCGCCCTGCACTGTGCTTGCCAGGAAGCAATGGCAGAGGTAGGATAGGCAGCTTCAGCTGGTTTGCATAATCTCGGGGTGGGGGGCGGTTCTAGACTGTCTCAGATGTTGGCTACTTGGGCCTGGGGTGGTGAATGCAGAACCAGAGTGTCAGATCCTGGAAAGCTGCCAGGAGCAGGTGTTGGGGGATGGGTTGCTTTGCCTGATAGGTCTCCCCCCCCCCCCCCCCGGGGCTATCTTTGGGGCAGTATTCCCTTTTGTCAAAGAGGTCTCAAATACCAGGAAGCCAAGAAAATACATAGACTGGGAAAGCGCAGAGAGCAGAAGAGTTGGGACTTGGGGGCCTGAGAACTGTTCTCTCCTCTGCCAGGGCTGGGAAGCAAGTACTCGGCTGTACCCTGAGGCTCATGACATTGGGCAGGTGAACACGATGCTCCCACTAGCTGACTTCAAACTCCATAAATTATGGCTTCTCTTCCTCCAAGTCCCTGTTTGGAAAAAGTGAAATGAACAAATGAAGACAGGAGTGAAATTAAAAGATAATTGGAAGTCTATATTGGGCTTCTGTGAATATGCGTGCTTGGTGCCGAGCTGGTCTCCCAGTGTGGGCAGAGAACTCAGAACTCATCCAGTGGCTCAGGGGGAGGATAAAACAGTTGGAGACAAATGCACGCCATGCAAATAAACAGGCTTGGCTTCCGGAGATGAGCTTGCTGTCCCCTCTGCCTGGGGCCTCAGCGCTTACAAGGTTCATTGCTCAGCTGCGGGGAGGCAGGGGGTGGGGAGGCTCTGGGTGGGTGTGGCAGGTGTAGGCCTGATGTGCGGGGGGGGGGGGGGGGGGGGGGGGGGGGCACAGCTGGGAGGGGGTGTGTGAAACATTTGGGCAGGGGTACTGTGTGCAGATGGGGGTAGGCATCTGAGAGACTGGAAAGTACACACACATCCCTGGCACATGCCCAGTGCCATGCCCACAGCCACACCCCTGTAGGAAAGTGGATGTGAAGGTTTGGGGATCAGGAGGGTTGGGGGCAATCCTGGTCCAACAGATGGGGAGACCCAGAGGTGAGCCCGTGGAACTGGGACAGGAACACTAGGCACTGTGACAGGTCCAGGACAACGGCATAGTGCTTCTCTCAGCAAGCACACGAATGGTGGGTTGTACCCAAACCCAGGATCCTTTCCCGTGTTTGCCCTCCCTGACCCAGGCTGGGCTCTTGATGAGTGGCATCCATGGCTGTGGCTCCAGCTGCTGTGCCCTGCACATCCACACCTGCTGATTAATCACCCAGTTCCTTCCATCCTGGTCTTCAAATGGTTTCAGTGCCAACCTCACCCCGCTGCCTGCTTGTTCCCCAGGAGCCCCTGAGCTGTCTGCATGTTTGTAAACTGCAAGTCAACCCTGGTGTGGCAAGCATCTTCTGCACTGGCGCTGACAGGCAGGTAAGTGCCGGGCCTCACCAGGAAATATCTGAAGACTATCTCCCCAAGTCCCTGGTGGGCTCTCTCTCGTGTGAAGCTGCCACAGGGGCTTCAAGGATGCTCACCCAATCAGAATCTGAAGACCAACCCGTGGGCCCGGTGTGGTAACCCAGTGACTAAAGTCCTCGACTTGTATGCACCAGGATCCCATATGGGCTAGTTCTAATTCTGACAGCCTGTTTTCCATCCAGCTCCCTGCTTGTGGCCTGGAAA